TCCATTTTGTGGCTATGTCATAAATTACTCTGAACATTGTGGTAATACCGTCAGGAATGTTTTCTGCAGTGTCAGTATCATTGGCACAATTATAGACATTTCCAGAATGACTAGATTTTATTTTATTTTAAAGATTTTATTTATTTATTTGACGGAGACAGAGACACAGCGAGAGCAGGAACACAAGCAGGGAGAGTGGGAGAGGGAGAAGCAGACTCCCCGCTGAGCAGGGAGCCCGATGCGGGGCTCGATCCCAGGACCCTGGGATCATGATCTGAGCCGAAGGCAGACGCTTAATGACTGAGCCACCCAGGCGCCCCTGGAATGACTAGATTTTAAACAGTGAGGATACATCTGTGTGAATATATGTATATTTAACATTAATTTGTATTTAAGTTACCTTTGTGCAGTTGTTGACTGAAATAGTGTGACAAATGAATCTCCATTATTTAAATTGGATAATAGCGCAGTTGCTTATAGTTTATTTCTTTTTCCTTGGAATGACTTTTTATGCTTCATAATGGAATTTATTTAAGTGAAACTTGATTAGAGGTAGAAATACAATTACACTAAACTCTTAGCCTCCACATTCAGTTATTAGCCATTACTTAAAATGTACAGCACTATCAGTTATTGCTGTAGTAGAGTCTTTTTTCTATCATGTCTTAGTTGTGAGGAAATATTACTTGTTTTGAAATAGTGGAACCTGAAAAAATAGACGAGGAGATAAGTATGTTTTATGGTGAACAAACCTTTAGAAAAACGTGGTATTTCTGTTTTGTTTCAAGATCTTAAAAGATCTTTAAAAAATAAGCAGTTTTTACTTCCTCTAAGACTCATTGACAAAAAGCAACTAGATAGTGTAGATTTATTTGGATTTAAATTTCAAATTGTTTGGTTTTGAATATTTTGCAAATAAATAATCCAAAATCTATTTTAATACTATAAAATTTCTATTGTAAATCAGAGGATGGTTCTGTATTTAAATAGGAAATTCAGATTAATTTCTGTTTAGAAATGAATGACACGTAGGTATCTAAACAACTAAGAAGTACCTTATGTTTTTAGTCTGTTACTGATAGATTCTTATTTTTAACTCCAGTCTTCAATATTTAAATCTAATGAGAAACTTTACCAAACCAATACGATTAAAGTGTAGAAAGACTACACTTAGAAAGTTAGTGTTATTGTCAAAAGAGAGGAGAAGAAACTAGAGCCATTTTAGGTAAAGAACCTAGTAGCTTAGAATAAAAAAAAAAAAAAAAAAAAAGAACCTAGTAGCTTAGGACACAGTATTTCAAAAGTCTTACTTTTTGTGAGCTATATGATTGGTGTAATTAGAATTCTCTTTTGGTGGGATTCTATTATATGGAAACAAGCTTACCTTTTTTTCTTTATTTTATTGAAGTACAATTTACATTCTTAAAATGTATCCATTTTAATTGGACAGTTGAGTTTGGACAGTTGTAATCTGTACCCCCAAATTTCCTTGTGCCTCTTTGTAACCATTGCCCCCATTGCTCCCTGGCCTACTTCTTTTGTCATAGGTTAGTTTTATCTTTAAAAAAAAAAAAAAATCAATTTTCTTGAGATACAGTTTACATAAAGGGCATGCTTTACCCTTTCATTAATTTTTTCTGGCACAAAAATACTTATTTTGCTTCATCACTAAAACATTGCTTTGCTTTGAGATGAGGAGTGGTAAGTCTTGGAGAAGAGCTTTGATTCCAGGCAGTCTTAAGTTTATATGTAATTTGTTAGTAAATTGATAGTTAAAAATGTATTGCAGTATCTTTCATAGAGTTTTTATATAAACAAGCATTATTGAAGTATGACAATTTCACTTTGAATGTTTGGCAACCAGTATATCGTGGAAGTTAGAATTTTAGGAGACTACTGGTTTTCACATGGATAAATTTCTAGTCTCTTTGCCTAAGATATTTCTTTCTTTTCCGTGAGCTGTTGTGTGCTCTTTTGGTTGTGGATTCCTCTTCCTCCTTTCTCACTCTTCCTCCCTCCTTTTCCTCTTCTTCATAGAATAATAAACTTAAGTTAAATGAAGTGTTACTGAACCGGAAAAATGTTCTGAACTAGTATTAATATCATTTACATAAAAATGATAGCATGAACATTTTATTAATTAAATCAGTATAAAAATTTAATGTTCTTATACCTAAAAGAATGTTTTTCAGTTAGAATGATGTCTTGGGCTGATGAATGGATAAAGAAGAGGTCGTGTGTGTACGTACACACACACACACACACACACACACACACACTGGAATATTACTCAGCCATCAAAAAGAATGGAATCTTTCCATTTGCAGTGATGCGGATGGAACTAGAGTGTATTATGCTAAGTGAAATAAGTCAGAGAAAGACATACCATATGGTTTCACCTCATATGTGGAATTTAAGGAACAAAACAGATAAACGTATGGGAGGGGGTTAAAAAGAGAGGGAAACAAACCATAAAAGACTCTTACCAATAGAGAACAAACTGAGGGTTGATGGAGGGAGGTGGATGGGGGATGGGCTAGATGGGTGATGGGTGTTAAGGAGGGCACTTGTGATGAGCACTGGGTGTTGTATGTAAGTTTTGAATCACTGCATTCTACTCCTGAAACCAATATTGTACCATACGTTAACTAACTAGAATTTAAATTAAAAACTTGAAAAGGGAAAAAAAAGAATGATGTCTTGGGTAAACCAGTAGCTGTGTAGGAAATGTAATGGATTTTCAGGAACTAGAACACAGAGGATATAAAATGTCAGTAGAAATAGTTTCTATAATACATTGTACTTAATTTTAATGATTCCTAATCTTAATCTTGAAAATCAAATAAGCTAAAAAAAACTTCTAATTGTTGCTACTAGGTGTGATACCAAAAATGATTAGATATTATTTTACCTGTTAAGTTTAGTGACTAGAACTAAAGTTATTCATAGTTGTTTTTAAAAATAACTGTAGAAAGTAAGCAGAGATCCAGAACACTTGAGCAGGTTTTTCAGGTACTTGGAAGTTACTTTTTTCAAATGTTCAATTCTTTTGTGTATATCATTAATACTGCTTTTGTCTTAACAAAGGTGGGCTATAAAATTGGTGCTCTGAAGAATGCCAACCCCAAGTATTATTACAATGCGGAGTTTAACTGTACCCCAATATCCAGGAGTTCAATTAATTATCTTCCATGGTGTGATTACTTAACAGACTGACAAAATTGACAACTTTCTTTTTTTTTTTTTTTAAGATTTTATTTATTTATTTGAGAGAGAAAGAGAATGAGAGACAGAGAGCACAAGACGGAGGAAGGTCAGAGGGAGAAGCAGACTCCCCGCCGAGCAGGGAGCCCGATGCGGGACTCGATCCCGGGACTCCAGGATCATGACCTGAGCCGAAGGCAGTCGGTTAACCAACTGAGCCACCCCGGCGCCCCTCTTTTTTTTTTTTTTAAAGACTTTATTTATTGGGGCGCCGGGGTGGCTCAGTCATTTGGCGTCTGCCTTCAGCTCAGGTCATGGTCCCAGGGTCCTGGGATCGAGCCCTGCATCAGGCTCCCTGCTCAGCGGGGAGCCTGCTTCTCCCTCTCCCACTCCCCCTGCTTGTGTTCCCTCTCTCGCTGTGTCTCTCTGTCAAATAAATAAATAAAATCTTAAAAAAAAAAAAAGATTTTATTTATTTGAGAGAGAGAGCAGGTGCACAAGGTCAGGGGGGAGGGGCAGAGGGAGAGGGATAAGTAGCCCCATGCAGAGATCGACACAGGGACATGGGGATCAATTCCAGGACCCTGAGATCATGCCTGGAGCCGAAATCAGACACTTAACTGAGCCACCCAGGCACCCCGAAATTGGAAACTTTCTTTCTGCCATGAACTGTTGAAGTGACTACAAAAATTTTAAAAAGGTGCAGTCTTCTAGAAGATCCAACTCCGGTTGTAATTACAAAATGTAAGCTATAATAGTCGAGTGGTAAATGCCATATCAATATATAGAATGGTTGAGAATATGGAGACAAACTGCCTGGTATAAAAAGAAAGGCTTCAGGGTGCCTGGGTGGCTCACTCGTAAAGCATCTGCCTTCGGTCATGATCCCAGGGTCCTCACATCGGGCTCCCTGCTCAGTGGGAAGCCTGCTTCTCCCTCCCCCATTCCCCCTGCTTGTGTTCCCTCTCTCCCGGTCTCTCTCTGTCATATAAATAAATAAAATTTAAAAAAAATTTTTTTAAATGCTATTAATTAAAAAAAAAAGGCTTCACTGAGACAGTATATTTGAGCTGTGTCAGGATAAGTGATTAATCAATAAAGAAATAGTACTGAAAGTTTTTTTATTATCTTTTTAGCCTTATTCTGTCCCATTTTTTTTATTGTGGTAAAATATACATAACAATTTGTCATTTTAGCCATGTTTAAGTGTACAATTCTGTGACATGAAATCCACTCATGTTGAACATCACCATCCATCTCCAGAACTTTTTCATCTTCTCCAACAAAAACCCTGTGCCTGGTAATTCCATCTCATTTCCCCCTCCCTCTAGTCCCTAGTAACTACCGTCCTGCTTCATCCTTATGAATTTGCCTACTCTAGGTAGTTTTCCTTTTATCAAACACTTTCAGCCCGCTAGCCCAATGTAGTTGTTATTCAGTAAATCTCTAAATTAAATGGCAATTAGGAATGGAAAGGCATTACTTATGCCAGTGGCTTGGTAATATTTCTTGAATGGACTCAAAACTGCTAATTATTGTTATTAATAGCCCTACTGATTTGTAGGAAAACTTTTGTTTTCTCCTGGTTTTTTTCCAGTTTTATTGATATATAATTGACATATAACATTGTATTAAAGTATACAACATAATGATTTGATATATGTATATATTGTGAAATGATTACCATGGTAATTTTAGTTAACATCCAACACCTCACATAGTTACAACTTTTCTTCTTGTGATGATTAAGTACTTTTTGCTTAATTTTTTTTCACCTAGTTTACTTTCATTTTTAGACTGAATCTGGGTATGGGTCTGAATCCAGCTTACGTCGACATGGCTCTATGGTGTCACTGGTGTCTGGAGCAAGTGGTTATTCTGCAACATCCACCTCTTCATTCAAGGTTTGTGGTTATGTATGCTTTAAGGCAGCATAAATTGAGTTTAATACTGAATGTTGTGAAAAGAACTTATGTGATAGTTTTTTGAAATACATTTTCTACAATGTAATTTATTTGATGTTGTTATAGAATAGTTTTTAAGGGGCAAAATCATGATTCTTAGAAATATAAAATGAACATATCAGATTTTATTTCATTCATTAATGAGTTAAGATATAAAGAAAAAATTGGTTCAAGGGAGAATATAAGGAATATTGAAATGATTTTGCTAATATACAAAGCTGGTCAGTATTCAGAGATTAGTAACTAAGTATATCCACTGGACAAAGTTCATTTGTACCTATATGGAATCAAATCATTTACATTACTCTCAGTTTTCTGCTACTTAAGGAGTTGTAGGGGCGCCTGGGTGGCTCAGTTGGTTAAGCAACTGCCTTCGGCTCAGGTCATGATCCTAGAGTCCTAGGATTGAGTCCCGCATCGGACTCCCTGCTTGGCCGGGAGTCTGCTTCTCCCTCTGACCCTCCCCCCTCTCATGCTCTCTCTGTCTCATTCTTTCTCTCTCAAATAAATAAAATCTTAAAAAAAAAAAAAAAAGTTGTAAAGTAGCTCCAATGCAACAAAATCAAAGATTCTCTATGACCAAACACCCTCTTAAGAGTTGTGTAGATGACACTCACCATTCCTTTGGAAGGTCACCCAGTAACATATTTGCCCAATCAAAGTCTTTCACAATTTTTCCTCACAGTGTTTAATTTGAAAATATTAAATGTTATATTAGCAAATTGCCAGACTTACTGCTCTCTTATTTCCTTCAAGCTTATCACTGTCAAGCCACTAATTAGTCATGTTCAAGTCTATTCCTGGGAGTATTATGTTGAACCTGACAGCTCTCCTTACCCCATTCCCTCAATAATAAGATGTACACCTTAAAAGGTGATGAAATATCATAGGAGTAAATCATTTCCAGTTTTGTTAACTTGGATTACATGCCCCCTTTTATGTGTTTTTCAGAAAGGCCACAGTTTACGTGAAAAATTGGCTGAAATGGAAACCTTTAGAGATATCCTATGTAGACAAGTTGATACTTTACAGAAGTACTTTGATGCCTGTGCTGATGCTGTCTCCAAGGATGAACTTCAAAGGGATAAAGGTTAATTAGGCTATTACCACTATTTTTACTTGGAGAATGAATGGATTTAAAGCCTCTTGATCTTAAAGGGTAATGTCTTTAAGTGATAAAGGTAATTATAGTCACTTTCGCTGAAAACTCCCAATGTAACAGATTTTGGTGTCCATATAACTTAAATACTTTAATAATGCATCCTAAGTAATCTGATCCCCCCCATACCAGATACGACTGAAATTTTTTTAGGTGATTTTTAAGCTCTTTATTCCATTGAAAAATATATCTATCATCTTGGTAACATGGGGCATTTCACAGGAGTATGTCTAATAAATTTACCCCATGGGGCACCTGGCTGGCTCATTCAGTAGAGCATATGACTCCTGATCTCAGGGTCATGAATTCAAGCCCCGCATTGGGCCTAGAGCTTATTAAAAAAAAAAAAAAAAAAGATTGTACCCCATCATGAGTCTTAGAAGCATGTTTATGTTAAATCCTCCAAATCTGAAATCATTCCATCTCTTTATTCCCCTCTCTTCCTTCTCTTCTTCTCCCTTTCTTTTTCTCTTCACTTTTCTCTCTCCCCATCCCTTCCTCTGGCCTTTTTCTCATAGAAGAAGAAACTAATAATGGAGCTACATAGAGATTTAAAAATAATATTTAGTGAATTTTTTTATTTAAGCAAGATGATCTTCTTTTAACTTACTCATAATGTGAGTTTTTATTTTTTTGTTGTTACTGCTAAAGATATTACTGTTAACATCTCTTCTTCATTTTTCCTTTTATTTGCCATGAAGGCAGAAATGAATTACTCATAGCAGTATTACTAAATAGCACGAAGTTCATTCCCCGTATAACTAGGTTACTTGACATGGTTTCATTTCTTGGTTTTATTAAATATGTTTGATCTGAGCTCAGATTCTTTTTGTCTTCTGTCTTCTTTTTCCTCCTTTTGCCTTCATTTGGATTGAGTATTTTTAAAATAATTTTATTTGTTAAGTCCTTTGTTGGCTTTTTAGTTATAACTCTCTGTTATTTTAGAGGCTACTTTAGGGTTCTAGTATGTACATTTAACTTATCATAGTCTGCCTTCAGGTAACATACCACTTCTAACATAGTATAAGAACCTTACAATTATGTCTTTTAATTTTTCCCCACTACTGAGGCAAGAGTCTTCAGTGTTCTCTAACCAGTAGCCTATGAATTACAAGTTTTCCAGTCTGTGTTGTGGAAACAGGAACTTTTCCATGTACCATGTAGGTTTTGGATACTGTCCCTGGAATTTTTTCATATGGTTCTTTCCCTGACCTCTATAGTTTCTTCACTTGTAGGTGCTAACAGTACTCTACTGAATTCTCAAGGGGACCTTCTGCTGATCTCTGGAATTCTTTCTCTGTACAGGTCTCTCGTCTGTAGTCCTCTGTCTTGACCTCCAGTTGCCTTTGCTTTCTGTACTGTCATCTACTCCTCACCTTAGAGAGTCTGCCAGACTCCTTCTGCTTTCCTCCTTATTCTACCACTTGGAAATTCTCCTGAGACACTAACCTAGAGCAATCATAGGGCTCATGTTATTTGTTTTCTGACTCTCCTTTATTGCCCAATATCCAATGTCTTGAAAACCATTGTTTTGTGTAGTTTTTCCAGTTTTTTAGTTTCATGCTAGAGGGTAAGCCTATTTATTCTACCTTGGTCAGAAGCAGAAGCCCATATTCCTCTTAAAGTACTTAATTTTGTCTAAATTAAGTAACCTTGAAGTTTTTTATATTTGATACACTAAGTTTTAGGCTCTTTAACATTTGATATTTATTTCTCTAAAAATAAAGGCAGTTGAACTTCTCTTTCTCCTTCATTAAGAAAAATGTGTGTATTCCTTTTTAATCAAATTAAACACTACACATCATCTTTCATTTGCTTGTAGATGGCCTTTTAAATAAAAACAGGATATATACGGAATTGATTTCTTTTTAAGTGATCATATCAATAGTATATAACGTGTCAAGGGCAAAAGTGATAGTGGAAGGAGTAGAAGTTGGGATGCAGTGATAACCAGGTTGTATAGAAGTTTTGAAAAATAATTTTAAACTATTCATGTTTGAATAAATAGCATCAGTGGTAGACTAACGTATATCACAAAGTACTACAGACTAGGTGGCTTAAACAACAGAAATTTATTTTCTCACAGTTCTGGAGGCTAGAAGTCTGAGATGAGTTGTAACCAAGGTTGGTTTCTTCTGAGGGCCATGAGGGAAGGATCTCATTTAGGTCTCTCTCCTCGGCTGTCTTCTCCCTTTGTCTTCATATCATCTTCCTCCTGTAAGTGCCTGTGTTTAAGTTTCATTCTCTTACAAGGACACTGGTCGTATTGGATTAGGACCCACCCTAATGACCTCTGGAAAGATGCTGTATCCAGATAGAGTCACATTCGGAGGTATGGAAGGTTAGGACTTCAACATATGAATGTTGCAGCTACACAGTTCAACCTGTAACAACTGATGTCCCAAAAAATGCTATCTTAAGAAATACTGATGCTTTTAAGAATACATATTGGGTAAAGATGAAATAAGGACTTGTACCATAGTTTCCTACTTTGTAGATCAGAGTTGATGAACTGAGTCTAAGGATCTTTCATTAAATTATCAATACTAAGGCTATGACAGCAGTGGATTATGGGTAGTGAATTCATCTACTTTTGTTTGTTTAGCCTTCCTGCTAACTTGATAAGTGATTAATCCACTACCTGTACTCTGTATTTACCTTTCCAGTGAGATTTATTCTTTCATATTTTTTTTTTGTTGATAATGAGAGCACTTTCTTTTCAGCCTACAGAAGTCCCTTTAACATTTCCTGTAAGGCTAATTTAGTGGTGATGAACTCCTTTAGCTTTTGCTTGTGTGGAAAACTCTATCTCTCCATCAGTTCTGAATGATAACTTTCCTGGGTTGAATGTTTTTGGTTTGAAGTCTTTTTTTATGGCTTAAAGAATTTTAAGAATCGCTGTTCTTTATTAAGTGTGTCATTGAAATAATAATAGCAAATTCTCATTTTATTTTAGGTGTTCAGTGTTTTTATATAAAATGTTTTATCAGAACTGTTAGTAAGACACTTTCAACCCAACTTCCTCCCTACCATTCCCACACATGCTTCAGTAGGATTTAATTAACCCTTAAAATCATAGATATATGGGTTTACAGAAATAGAAGACATTATCTCTAACCTAAACTTACTGTTTAATTTTAAAGGAAGACAGGTATCACATTAAAGGAAGGTTTCTATTAATCTTGTTCTTTTGTTCATTGTTAGTTTGATGACTTGAAATAGATTACTTAACATTTTTCCACATCTCTTTTCTCAAGTGTAAAGTGGATATCATATCCCGCACATACGACTGTGAGAATTAAGTGAGAATATATAGATTAGCACTGTGCCCAAGAGCAAAACTTCAGTAAATAATAGCTGCTTTTTTTTTTTTAAAGGGATTGTCTTTCCTTTTTTTTTTTTTTTTTTTTAAGATTTTATTTATTTATTTGACAGAGAGGGAACACAAGCAGGGGGATTGGGAGAGGGAGAAGCAGGCTCCCCGCAGAGCAGGGAGCCCGATGTGGGACTCGATCCCAGGACCCTGGGATCATGACCTGAGCTGAAGGCATCACTTAACCAACTGAGCCACCCAGGCGCCCAATAGCTGCTATTTTTAATGTGGTTTATTTAGATTACTGCAAGGATAAGGAAAGCAGGAATGATTGGGTTGGGGGATTTGTATTAGGGCAGTAGTTTCAAACCATGTCAGATATCCCTTAAAGGTGCCTCAGGGAAGGGCAAGGAGTGCTTGGTTGGGAAGGAAAGGGGAAGTCTACTCTGTTAGCCAGCACAGCTCTTGTTTTCATCAATTTTACATATTAAGTGTTGGGCTAGAAAAAGAAAGTTGAAAATCCCTGTTTGGTGGTATTAGGCTATTAGATGGTTAGAGATACGAAACCCAAAGTAGATACTAATGAGATAAGTGAGGCACAAACCTCTCAGTAATATTTAAGAACAGTTCATCCGAGTAGTATTGAATCAAGGTCAGGATCTTGTCTGGTAGTAAGTACTGATTTAAAAGCAGAGCAGTATGCTGTGGATTTCTTAGAATTGACCATATGAATTGTCTATTCATCCATAGAAATGAATAGTAGGTGTTAGTAGATAATAGTTTATGATTTGAAAAAGTTGTTGCAGATGAGTAGCAAAATTTTTTAAGTGATGAAAAAATGAAATAGCCTAGTAACTAGAAAATGGCAGCACAGAACAAAAGTATTTTCCGTGGTGATTGCTACCATTCAGGGGAGGATTAAAGAACAGGAGTGGGCTCTGCATCTATTGGAGAGAGAGAGCACGAGCTAAAGTAGGTGAAATGTTTGTTGTAGAGCGAAATTACTCTTGATGTAGAGATACAGACAAGAAATAAGACATTAATTTAGAATGAAGACTTCTTAATGTAGAAAGGGAGTACCTAAGAAAGAAAGAAAGATAGAAGCCGGGGCGCCTGGGTGGCTTAGTCGTGAAGCGTCTGCCTTCGGCTCAGGTCATGATCCCAGAGTCCTGGGATCGAGCCCCGCGTCGGGAAGCCTCCTTCTCCCTCTCCCACTCCCCCTGCTTGTGTTCCCTCTCGCTGTGTCTCTCTCTGTCAAATAAATTAAAAAAAAAAAAGAAGAAGAAGAAGAAGCCATTAAAAAGTGTGATAGAAAGCAGAGAATAAGGTTGGGGGCTAAGGTTTATAAATTTGCATTAAAAGTGGAATACAGAATACAGAGGATTAAAGTATGTTAGGCAGTAGGGAAAGGGATAGTAAATAGAAAAAAAGGTATGCAGAAGGAAAACATGGGGGATTCTGTTTTTTCTGGAATTGGGTAAGTTAAAAGGGATGTCCAGGCACAGACACATTAGGATGAATGAAAACTGATATCACACCTGTAAGTCATTCTGTTTTCCCTATATATCCAGAAATAGTAAATTTAAGAACTCCCAGAGGCAAGTTAAGGCATCTTTTGTATGCAAGTTACTTTACATTCCTTTTCAGCCCTTGCAGGCCTCTGGTAGAATTATGAAATTGCCCAAGCTAGGTAGGAAGGGATAAGACCAAGCTAGGTAGGAAGACTAAAGGACAAAATAATTCATATCTCAGTACTATCCCTTACACAAATGAGAATGGGTACAGTTTTTATAATAATGTATTGTATTTAAAGACATTCCACAGCATGTTTATTAGGCATACCTTGACAACCACTGAAAATACAAAGGTAAGTAAGGTCTTGTTCTCACAGAATCCAGGATATATTGACTCATTCGAACATAAGAATAAACTGGTTAATTCCTATTTCCTTTCACCCTAATATCCTTAAATATATTTTATTTAGTTGTAGAAGATGATGAAGATGACTTTCCTACAACACGTTCTGATGGAGACTTCTTGCATAACACTAATGGCAATAAGGAAAAGTGTAAGTAGTACATTTTTTTCCTCTCAGCTACATAAAGTGTTTTTTCTAAAGTTATATAATAACTAAGTATATAACAAGAATAATTATCTAATTGAGCAATTTTTTAAAAGCAGTGTAACTACTGGAAAATGAAAGTTCCTTCTAGGAAAAGACATGTAAGTAAAATATATATTCTGACATTAAATAATAATGGCCACTCATTATCTAACAAGACTCATTCTGAATTCCAGACATTGGCCCACTTATTTCAGCAGTATTTCGTAAAATCAGTTTCTAGTACTGAAAGTTTATTTCTTGGGGGAAGCATTATAATGGAATTTGAATGTTTATTTAGAGTATATTTCTCTGTTCAACATTCTTTTCTGTCTCCACTCAATAAACTGGTGTTGAAAAGTACATATTCAGTGTTATTAAAGGAAAATTATTAAAAATAGCTCTGATTTCATAGTGCAGTTGTTTACAGACCCAGGAGCAAGGTGGCTTATTTCATATACTCATTTATTGTTGCTCTGTTTATAACGGCTTATTAGATGGAATTCTGAATTGTTCATTTGAAACCTGTGATTTGCGAGTCCCTGCATAGGGGCTCCTTGCTCAGCAGGGAGCCTGCTTCTCCCTCTGCCTGCCCCTCCCCCTGCTTGTGCTCTCTCTGTCTCTCCCTCTCTCTCTGACAAATAAATGGATCTTTGAAAAAAAAAAGAAAGAAACCTGTGATTTGTGACAACATGGATGAACCTCAAGGGCCTTGTAGTAAAAGAAATAAACCAAAGACAAATACTGCATGGTATCACTTACATGAGGAATCTTAAACAAACAAAACCAGGAACCTGTGATTCGTAGTCAGTACTCTTCTTTTGACATATCTTAAGAAAAAATGAGTAGGTTTGCAAAAAATTCTTTTAATTACAAAAATAAGACTTTGTGAAAAAAATAAGTTAATTGTGCTTATTTTTGCTAAAGTTGTGAAAGAATGTGAAGTATAATTTATACCTATTTTCAAATAATTTTTCAAATTGTTGTATTCATGGCATTAATTTTCTATTTCAGAGATCACAGTGGAATATTCCATTATTGATACTAAAGTCTGATGCTTCTTTCTCCCCATTTTATCCTTCTTTCCCTCTTCCTGTTTCTTATTTTCATCATGGCTCTCTTCTTCCTTATGACCTGCCCCCTCCCAGTCTTGCAAAATACTAGCTTCTTACTACAAACTGGTCCTTCCAACTTGGAACTAAAATATTGAACCTTACTGAATCATCTAGATTTGCCTTTATGAAATTAGAGGATTATTTTGGAAAGATTCTTTCAAGTTACATTTTAATTTCACAATGTATAATCTGCTTTAATAGAAAAAAGATTTTGTTTGGACATTGAAAAAATTGTAAAACTTTCAGGTCCAGTCTTCCGTCCTGGTCAGCTCCCCTGCCTACATTCCCCAGAATTGAAGGGAAACTTACTTTCTGTAGAAATTGAACTGGAGGGTTCTAGATTCAGGAATACCTGACATAGTAAAGGATAGGTGTATTGGCCTATTGTTAAAGGGATTACGTGAAAATTTACATACTGATTGTTGAAATTTAACAGCCTCATTGTTCTGTTTATCCGAGAACCCTAAACCAGGCACTAAATGAAAGTCTACTTACTGCAGCTCCTTTCTTCTACTGTGTTTCCAGAATACGCATCAACCAAGCATATATTTTGTGATACAGAATTAGAACATAACTCTGTAGATGCTGAATGACCACAAAGAAAGGACCTATAAATAGAGATTTTCTGTGTCTACCATGAAAAAGCTGTCTCACTACCAGATCACCCTTTGATTAAGTCCACTAATTAAAAAACCCTGCTAGTGCTTACAGAGCTTCCAGTAATTTACTCTTAAATATGAACAGATAGGGCGCCTGGGTGGCTCAGATGGTTAAGCGTCTGCCTTCGGCTCAGGTCATGATCCCAGGGTCCTGGGATCGAGTCCCACATCGGGCTCCCTGCTCCTTGGGAACCTGCTTCTCCCTCTGCCTCTCTCTCTGTCTCTCATGAATAAATAAATAAAATCTTTAAAAAAAAAAAAAAATATGAACAGATAGCCAGATTTCCAGACATTTGAGGAAAGCCTCCAGTCTCTCTTTTTTTGAAAAGAACCTTGAAACCAAGCAACAGAAGACAGGGTTATTAAAGTCATTTTGAGAAATATCCTACAAGATGTTTGTATAATTTTTTAAATCATGAGTCATGTTTTAAGTACACTTCTGGAATTCACTGTTTAAAGTAATTCCTTTCTTAGTGTTGATGAAAATTAACTCTTGTTAATCCCATAGATGGAAAGTATCTTTCTGTAGTTAACCTCTAGAAATAAGTTGGAAGCTTTGTATATAATCTGGTAAAGTGAACAAAATATGAAGTCTTTAAAAACCTGGTACTACTTAATCATAGCCTGGGATTAGGGTGTCAGTCATCTCTCAAATAAAGACAGGGTCTTTCTGCTAGATCCAACAAGCATCAGAAAAAGGAGAAATGATGCTTCATTCTTGAGAGTGGTTATTATAATGATACTCACCATTATAGCCATCATTAAAGATTTGGTTTAGATCACATATTGTGATAGTAGTATGTTAAGTTTTTAAAAATTTAAAACTAGTATACCAACCTGATAGTAAGTTCTATGTATTTCAAGAATAGGATTAGGGGTGGGTTTTGAAGAGTAGAGTAAAACATCCACAGGTTCTAAGATGAGAAGAAAGGCAATTAAAGTAATTTGAATTTTAGACCAGAGGAGGAATTTTTGGTTACAAAAACACCTTCCTTAGTTAAAGACCTCAGGAGTTTAGATCATGGCAGAAGGACTTTTTGCTCAATCTTTTGTGAATAAACTTATTTACCTCTAATGTAAATTTTCTTCTGTTATATGCTGTGTCATCTTTTCTTAATTTATATTTCTAGGGTCAAAAGGGGAGACTTTATGATGACAATTTCAATTCATCAGAAAGATATAACAATTGTAACATGTAGTTGCATGTAATAACAGAACCCCAAAATACATGGACCAAAACCTGACCAAATTGAAGAGAAAAAAAAAAGACAATTCAGTAGTAATAGTTTGAGACTTAAATATCTAGCTTTCAACAATTGATAGAAAAAGTAGGAAAAAGACCAATAAGGAAATAAAATACTTATAAACAATCAGACCTGGTAGACATGTACAGAATACTCCACTTAACAATAGGAGAATATATGTTCTTCTCAGTAGTACATGTAACATTCTTCAGGAGAGAGCTTATTCTTGGCCATAAAACAAGTTCCAACTAATTTAAAAGGATTGAAATCATACAAAGTACGTCATTTAACCACAAAGGAATAAAATTTGAGATCAATGACAGAAATTTAGAAAATTCATAAATACATGGAAATTAACACACTACATAACCAGTGAATTAAAGACAAAAATCACAAAGCAAATTAGAAAATACTGTGAGATGAATGAAAGCAAAAATACAAGATACCAAAACAGATGGGCTGCAGCTAAAGCTGTGCTTAGAGGGAAATGTATAGCTGAAACACCTTTATTATAAAAGAAGAAAGAGGGTCGCCTGGGTGGCTCACATGGTTAAGCATCTACCATGGGTTCAGGTTGTCCCTGGGATCAAGCCCCTCATCGGGCTCCCTGCTCAGTGGGGAGTCTGCTTCTCCCTCTCCCTCTGCCCCTCCCCCCACCTATTCTCTCTGTCTCTCTCTCAAATGAATAAAATCTTTAAAAAAAAGAGAGAGACTCAAAAAACAACACAAACTATAAATTGGTTCTTTGAAAAGATACCAAATTAACAAAATTAAAGATATCAAAATTAAATTTTGATGAATTAATCAAAAAACACAAACTATAACCTCATTCTTTGAAAAGATACCAAATTTTTTTTTAAAGATTTTATTTATTTACTTGAGAGAGACCAAGAGAGAGAACATGAGCGGGGGTGGGGGGAGCAGAGGGAGAAGCAGACTCCCCACTGAGCAAGGAGCCCAATGTGGGGCTCAATCCCAGGATCATGACCAGAGCCGAAGGCAGACGCTCAACCCACTGAGCTGCCCAGGCACCCCAAAAAGATATTAAAATTATTAGCTAAACTGATCAAAATAAAGAGAAGATTCAAATTACTAAAATCAGAAATGAAAGGAAGGTTATTACTACTGACCTTTTAGAAATAAAAAGGATTAAAGGGGAAGGCAATAAATAAATGTATGCCGACAAATTTGATAACTTAGATGACATGGACAGAAGTCTTAGAAAGGCACAAACTACTGAACTTGACTCAAGTAGACATAGAAAATGCAAATAGACCAATAATAAATAGATATAATTAGTAATAAACTTCCCACAAAGAAAAGCCCAGCCTCAGATGGCCTCACTGCTTAATTCTAAACATTTAAAGAAGAATTAATGCTGTTTCTTCACAAATTCTTCCAAACTTTAGGAGGAATACTTCTTAAATTGTTTGCTGAGGCCAGTTTTACCTTGATACCAAAACAAGACAAAGATATTGCAAAACTATAGACCAATATCTCTTATGAATATAGATACAAATACTCAATAAAGTACTGGCAAACCAAATCCAGCAACATCTAAAAAGGATTATGCACCATTACCGGAAGGGATTTATCCCAGAATGCGGTTAGCTTAACATGGGAAAATCAGTTGATACAATAATCATATCAGTAGAATAAAGGCCAAAACTGGTGGTCATCTCAGTAGATGTTGAAAAAACATTTGACAAAATCTAATACTCTTTCATGATAAAAACACTCAAAAAACTAGGAAGGACTACCCAAAGTATCTGTGAAAAACCCACAATGAACATCACATTTAATGGTGAAAGAGTGAATGCTTTTCCCCTGATACCAGGAACATGTCCATTCTTGCCACTTCTGTTCAGCGCTGCATTAAAGATTCTAGCTAGGACAACTGGACAAGAAAAATAAATAAAAGGCATCCCAATTCAGAAGGAAGAATTAAG